CTTCTAATTTCTTTTTCTTCGATCACTTATTATAAATATTTGTGTATATATATCATAATTATGTATCTTGATTCTTGAAGGAAGGATGAGGAAAGCACATGTTGTTGATGTTGCATCTTTAAACAATACTTCATTAATTTCTGCCGGCACAACCAATTACGACGACGGTCAATTCCTCAACTCGTTGACTATCTTTTTTCGATCCAAAAGCTTAATTAATTAATTGCAAAATCATTGATTTTATTTTGATGGATATGTATATATTATATATATGCAGCAATGGGATTGATGTTACTGACAACTACATACCCACAGCTTTACGGAGTGCAGTTTCCGTTGTTGAGTAACGACCCTTGTTATCCTGAAAAGTTGATCTGGATCGAATGCAGCAACGATCCCATACGCCGCGTCACAGCCCTGTACGTAAATTAATTTAATCATCTTTTAAATTGTTATATATACGTGCATCGTAATTTCCCACCTAGGAAAATTAAAAAATTAAAAAATAAAAAATGTCAGGTATCTCGGAGCCGCAAATTTGTTTGCAACACTTCCCGATTTCAGTACAATGGATGCACTCGAGAAAATGTAATAGTACAACCGGATATTTCAATGAGGTAGTATATAGATTATAGAAAAAAGTTCGTTAAATCTGATTCTGATCATTTCCATTTTCTTTTATGTACATAAAAATTGCAGATATTTAAACAATAATATTCTGACGGGATCAATACCGGAATTCCTCGGCAACTTTCCGAAGCTAACATATCTGTGAGCCGATAATTACACGATAATTAATTTGTGGTTATATATAATATATTCGTCTAATGCACGATTATAATACATGTCTTGTGATCTTTTCGTCTCAAGGAATTTGGCGAACAATTATTTCACCGGAACGGTCCCGGATTCGCTGTCGAAAAATAAAAAAATAACTTTGATGTAAGCTAACTATCACAAAATTGTATATAAAATGCAAAGATGCAACAAATTAATTTTTGTTGACTTTGACTTTGTGCAGCTTAACAGGCAATCCTGGATTGTGCAGCTCGAGCAATCCGTGTAATTCGCCACCTTACGACGACCCTGTATTTCCTACACCACCAGCCACACCAGAAGATGATCACTCTCAGATTCCATCTACTGGTGGCGGCGGCGGTGGTGGTGAAAGTCATAAGAGTCACCTGGCAACCATACTTGGTAGCACAATTACTCCAAGCGTCATTATCACGGTGGTTGGAGTTTTGGCACAATGTCACAGGAGAAGAAGAAGGTCTGCTGCTGCTGGTGGTGCCGCTGCGCCTGTATTTGCCGCTGGAGTAGGTAACTAGTCACCGTATAATAATATGCGCGCCATCTTCGACGCTAATGTATTCATATTCGTATCGATCATCTACATTTTTCTCTCGTTTCTTCAAGAGTGCCGTTTCGATTCAAATTCATTTTCCTATGCGTGTAGACTGTATAGTCTTAGAAATGGAAATCATTTTCTTTATTAATTATATCCACACAAGAGAATGTATCAGGTATTGATCATTTGTTGCGTTTACGTTGAAAATCTTATGGATTCGCTTGAATTAGCTCTCTTCAATTTGAATCGGAATAATTCCAATTTAATTTTCGGGAGTGACGAAAAGATAATTTCAATTCCGTCCTAAGAAAAACCGGAAAAAATTAGAAATCCGAATTTTGAAAATTGGAATAAAAAACATTGTCCGACAATCGGAAGTTTTCGGTTGGTTATCTTTGGAATTCGGAAATTACATCTTTAGTCACCTATAATATAAAGTTTATAATAATGATATTATAAGTTGTAATTTTAAGAGGAAAAAAAATCAGAATTTTCAAAAATATTGGAAATTAAAACAGGATTAAATCGTAATCTAATATGCATTCAAATATCGTTCCAAAATTATTGGAAAAATTGGAAATCGTACCTTTCGTAATTCGAAATAAAAAACATTGTCCCAAAATCGTACCCAAACTTGCCGCCGTTATCGCAGCTACCGCTCCTCCTCCCGGCCCCCACAACTACAAAGGACAGCCCCAGATACGCCACCGACACAAACACGCACGCTGCCCACATCAGCTTGTTGATCACCGCCAGGGCCGGTCCGGCGTATTCGGCGGCCCGAGGCTAGAATATAATTGTTCGATAGTTCTGGGGCAACGTTCGGATTCCTTTTTTTCCGCATCTTAAGCTTTATGAAATAATATAAATAAATTATTTATTAACAGAAACCTCATAAATAGAAATCTGAAAATATTAATGTCTAGATAAAAACCTTTTGTATAAAGTAAATGTTAGAATGAAAAAAAAAACATTAAATTTCAAATCTATTTTTAAAATAAATTTATAAAAAAGAAAAAATAATAATAAAAGAGTAAAAAAAAAAAAATTGAAAAACATAGAAGAATAATGTTTTTTCAAACAATAAAAAAAAATTACGCATAAAAATATATAATATATATACTAAAAAATCGAAAATTTGGGCACCCTATAAAATTGGGCCCTGCTCGGCCCACCCAGGGCTGGCCCTGATCACCACCACCGCCGTCTGCCCCACCACCACCGCCAGCGACATGAACCGAAAATATCAAAAAAAGGGATTTCTGGGGATTATAGATATTCGCCTCCCCTAGAGAAAGCCCTACCGGAATACACCTCGGGTCGCTGGAAACACGTGCAAGGAAGAAGAGTAAGCTTACGGCATACTTGGTGGCACAATTCCTCCTGGATTATTCTTATCACATTGGTCAATCATTCTTCTCGTAACATTTTGATTGTTTTACGAACGTATATTTATTTTGTGCTGTTCTATGTGAAAACGACACTACAGAAAATTGGGCTCCGCGTAACTCTTTCACCCACTTCACCCACCATCATATATCAAGTGGTGGCTCCATTGTTAATCCAACCGACGATTTTAATCATCGTTCATTTGTCAAACACATCATTTATAATGAGACACGACATGGAAACCAATTCCATCCTATGTTCTGGCATCATAGAAAAATTCTTTATATATATATACATATATGTATATATATAAAAGGAAATAGCTAGAATGAATAAACATTAATGATCATAGTTAGTGGATTGTAGCACAATGGTTAGTCACCTAACATCAGTTATCTTTATCTTGGTTGCTCTTTCTCTACAACTGCTATCATCAACTGATGGTAAACTAATTAAGATTATCTCTTGTTTTTTTTGTTCTTTTTTCATATAATTATTATGATATATATCTTGAAATATTGATTGGATGAACTAACCTGCAGGAAGGACGATGAAGGCAGATGTTGACCGCCGCGGCGTTGTTAATGTTGCATCTCCAAATAACACTTTATTAGATTATGCCGGCACAACCAATTACGACGACGGTCAATTTCCTCAACTCCGTTGATTCTCTTTTTTCCGATCGAAATATAAAAATCCGTAAATTTTTACATATGCAGTAATGGGATTGGTGTTACTGACAACTGCGTACCCGCAACTCACGTATGGATCTCAGTTTCCATTGTACACTAGTGACCCTTGTTATCCTCAGCAGTTGGGCTGGATCGTATGTAGCAACGATCCCATACGTCGCGTCATAGCCCTGTACGTAAACTTACTTATCGTCTTATAAATTAATATGTAATAAAAAAAAAAAAATCAACGATCGATGTATGTTTTATGGATATATAAATCAAATGCCTAACGTTACATTATGAAATGATGTACAAAAATGTCAGGGGTCTCGGAAACGCGGGTTTGACGGCACCACTTCCAGACTTCAGTTCAATGGATGCCCTTGTAACAATGTAATATTATAACATGTTAAATATGTACAATGGGATTCATTGTCTAGTATACAGATTATAGAAAGTTCATTGAATTAATCTGATTCCCTTTTTTCCAATATTTTTTTTTTTTTTGTCTACGTACATCGAAATTGCAGACATTTATTCAATAATCAATTGTCGGGACCTATACCTGAATTCCTCGGCACCTTACCGGAGTTAACATTTCTGTGAGCCAATTTTTACATGACTAAATGGAACCTAATAGTCTGTGCTTATATTATAAATATAAGTATATATATATTCGTATAATTGCATTGTTTTGAACTTTTTCCACGAATGTATTTCTTATGATCTCATCTGTCTTGTGTTCTGAAGGAATCTGGCGTACAATCGTTTCACGGGACCTATCCCAGCTTCGCTGTCGGAAACTACTACTTAGAATTGATGTAAGCTAGCAACTCTGACACTAATTGCCCTATTAAAAAACAAATATATATATATATATATATATATATATATATATATATATATATATAGATAAATATGTATATATATATATACC